GATTGATGACACGCTGTAACATTTTGGCCCACTTACGCTGTCTGATATCACTGAACTCACTCTAAGTGAACACACTGCGGACACCAGGAGTAATGACACTTCATATCATATATTCATATCAACATCATATTTTGCCCAGAGGGATGATTCCATGGAAATCTCCACTGGATTAATATTTAAAGGTCTTTACAGAATAATTCAGATCAGCAGCACACTTCAAGATATGAGCTTTCCTCATTGGTGTGCTGCTTCTAAGTTCTTTATCATCCCTACTCTAATAGCCAGAAAAGTGGGATTTTTCCAAGGAACATAGTATTAAAGGAATTCTGTATGACATTATATCTGATATCATGGAATTATTGGGCCTCATTCACCAATATTTTCTTAAGAATTCTCTTAAATCTGTTCCTACGAAATTTGTTAAGAACAACCTACGTTGGATTCACGACGTGTTCTTAAGTAGCATAATTGTTTGCATCTTTGTTCTTAAGAATGGTGATTCCCACGTCTTCGTAACTGAAAGCGCGTGCCAGTTTGTCCTAATTAGCATAGGGAAACGTCTTGCAATTTCCCATAAAAGGGCATGAGACTGTAGGGCCGTGTGCAAGGAATGGCGAAGAGACGCGCAGGCTGTGAGACGCTTGGCACTAAGAGGAAAAAAAACTTCAGTAATGCTGAAGTAGAAGTATTAATACAGTAAAATCCCATTATAGTGGACTCGCTTATAACAGAATATCGTCTATAACGGACAAGGTCCGCTGGTCCCGGCCGTGCGCCTTTAAGAACATGCAGAAAAAGCATCGGATATAGCGGACTCTCATATAATAGAATTTCACTTATAACGGACAAACAATTTGGTCCCCAGGGCTGCTTTTAGCTGTAGTTTTGTTCGGCTATAACGGACATGCAGGCTCTGCATCCAGCGCAGATACGTAGTTGGGATTATTAATAGTTACGCATCTGCTGAGGTAAAGTTGGATTACTACATGTAAAGTATATAATAATCTATACCACAAGTGTGTCTGCTGGGGTGGGGCATCAGTAAATGATGTCCTGTAGTTGTGTTCTGGGCATACAGCAACTCTGGATATAACGGACTGTTTTGCAGGTCCCTTGAAGTCCGTTATAACACGATCTTACTGTACACGAGGTAAATGCAAATAGACACATGGTATTTAGTAGCGTAACCAGTGGATATAAAGCCCCCAAGAAAGCTGATACATGGAAAGATATCACCTTCTCTGTGAACGCTGTGTGCCAAATAAATCTAAATGATCTTCAAACATGCGTTCCCTTCTCAGAGCACGATTGGCAAGCTCTTCGAGAAGTAACAGAAATGCCATTTTGATAGCAAGCCCAATGCGCAGAAACAGACCTATTTATAATCCGCATGATCGCCATGAAAATAATTTTTACACTTTAAAATTATTTTTATATTTTGCTTTTATAAATTATTCAAATATTATCATTTTATGAACTGTATTATGAACAAAACTGCTATAACCGATTATTTTGAACAAACTATCATTACTCAGATGTGCGTACGAATGGTCTTGAGTGTGCATAGATTCTGTTCTTAGCTAAGAACCAATTCAGATAAGAAAACATTGGTGAATGTCAGAGTCTTCGTAAAAAAAGTGTGTACGTGGGGCAAGGGCG